CTGTGTTGCCTTGCATTGAAATAACCTCCCGTTTCCAATCATTTTATCTGCATTTATTCTGGTTATCCCACAGTACTAATCAATATTGCTGAGTTGGAGGCTCATCGGAGACTCGTACAGCAGCGGCATATTAGGTAAAAAACGTGGGACGGAAGGGTTCTCTTGATTCCAAAAGACTAGACATTTAGTGAATGTGTTAGCATGCTTTGATCGGATGTGACTAATGATTTCTTGGGTAACGGATTTGGGAAATGGTGATCTATTTGCATTTCAACATCCTAGCTTTTGACCGAATACGGCTATTGAATGCCATTTTCTACAGATTGTGACCCTTTGAGTCTACAATGGCGAACAAATTGAAATGTTTTTGAAATATATTGTATTCTTGCCCACGCTTTACTTCCCCCCAATACAGTGCCCGAAATGCATTCTTGTTCAACCCGTGAGGATTTCAACCAAACGCCACTTCAACCCCTCGGACTGGGGAGCTACAGATGGTGACAATCCTAACTATATCATCACTCTCCTAGAAATCAAACCTAATCCGCGTACTGGCTCATGTACGTAAATAACGTCGTCCTGAAATCCCTTCCATTAGTACGACACATGGGTAAGTCACTTGGTCGGGGAATATGATAGGGCGCTCGAGATCTATAGTCATGATAGTGAGACTACCAGTCGGCGAATAGGTGGAATAAGACACTTTTCGGTTCGGTTTAATTAGATAGAGACAGGTAGGCTAGGTTTATATCTGCCGACTATTGATTTGTTACGCATTCGAAGCCTGGAATTATTTCTAAGTTAATAAGGGTTTGCCAGATATATGAGTATAGAAATATCCCGAATTTTATGGATCTTGTGGGCTAGACTCCATAGTCCCACTCCGGGCAATAGCACTCCGTGGTTGTTGGCGGAGTGCAGTCTCAAGGTCCTCAATGCCAAGGCACCAGCGCTCTTGGACAATGTCTTTATGTGATAGGAGACATTTTAGAGCCCTAGACTGAGGCCGGAGAAACACAGGGTAAGAAGCAGAAATGCGGATGATGGGTCTAATTCTCAACTAGGAGCTGGGATGTTTTCCACTAAGAGGATTCGAGTCATTTGGGTATCAATGCCGCAGTACTGATAATATACGTGAAAAGGCAGCTGACAAGGTACTCATTTTCACCGCCATTTCCCATTTTGGGATACCGAATGGCTTGGTCGATTGGATTTGGATAATGACGCATGGGGATGCTGCAATATGTGTCGATCTTCCTCACACTGCTGTATGCATGCTTCTTACTATTTGACTCAGAGTGTCTCTTTACCGCGATGTTCTTTCTCGCCATTTTTGCTATAATACGAACAGAGAAAATAGATCTTCGACTTCACGCTCTGGCGTATCATCTATTGAACAGGATTATGGCTCTCTTTATTGCGAAATATTATGAGCATAGTCCAAATGATGGGAAAATCACTTTGATGAGACCAGTTGATCCTTCCCACTGGAAGCGGTATGGAGGGCCTAGAGTGTCACATTCTTCGCCGTCTAGCTTTCGGGTCATGTGTGCTGGAAGACCGGAAACAAGGAGCTACTGGTTACCTCTGTTTTCGTTGAGAGACTCGGAGATTTCCTCTGCAAGTTCACACAGGTATTCCAGTTTTGAGAAGGATGTCGTGATATAGCCATCTGGAAGGCCTGATATAAGCGAAGGGGGAGGAGTGATATCTCTTAGAATCATTTGGTTAGGATAAATGCTCTTAAAGACAAAGATTATAGTACTACAAGCCGATAACCCATTGCCTCCCCGAAGATTTCCCTCATCCAATTCAAGTCAGACTTAACTGGTCCGACTCGGTACCTTTCGACGGGCTGCAAGAACTCAAAAATGCACTTGCTAAAGCGCGCTCCCAGAATATCTGGATCCCACCGTTTTCCTATATCATGCCCTATGATCCTAGGGTATGTACCGCTGGGGACATGTTTCGGGATCTGCTTCGTCACTTTCTCAATTGTCAAGAGCTGAATCTGGATCTCCGAGATGTGGTTATCACATATACCCCAGTAGCAACTGAGCGGGTATTCCACATGGATCCCTGGAGTACTCCGTGGGCCGATATCAGAAGGACCTTCTGCGACCCAGACAATACCAACTTTGTGGTTGACGTGAATCTTTTTGCACGAAGCGAGTACGAAATGGACATTTCAATCCTGGAATGTGATGACCCGCTGCCTGGCACTCTGCTAACTGCGCCAATAGTTGACAATTCCAATGCTCATCTAGCGGACGATTCTGCAGAAACGACATTCAATTTTACTAGGGATAATAAATAGAAGTACCACAGATCCATGACTGCTAATTCTCGAGGCATTAGCATTGCGAAGAAATTGATGAATTTTTACCGATTAATGCATTGAAATAGGGCAATGTTAAAAGGACCCCTCTTGCTGATATTCGAACCCCCTCTCCACCTGTCTAAGTCTAATTAGGGAAGTCGTAGTATGTGTATTTCATAGTGTATTTCCTTAGTAAAATGAACAAAAGGGCGTAGAGGAAGACAATAGGCCTCGTAGGGTGTGTGAAGACTTACACCTAGCTCAATACACGTATACAACTAGGTCAAAAAGACCACTATGTCAGCCTGACGGCTAACATGCCTAGGACCGATATATATACTACTTAGTACGCATAATGTACGCGTGCGCACCCTAGACGCCACGCCGTGATAGTTAAATCTTATCTTCTATAAAAAGCACTCACCAAAGCAAAAACGTTTAGAAAGTAAGATGATATAGACTTACTCTTCGGTTTACGATAGGGGTCTAAAAAGCGGTCTTAAAAATGGTCTCTCCAATAGTGTTAAAACATTTGCTATGTCACTATACTGAAAAAAGACACCGTGAAATACATATACTACGCCTTCACTAATTAGGCTTAGACAGGTGGAGAGGGGGTCCTTTTAACATTGCCCTATAAAATCCCTCCTGAATGTATTGAGCTGTAATTTACAGCGAAATCACCATTTCAAATGTTCCTTAGTTCCGAATTGAAGGACCAATAGCTGATATTAGCTCCAGATGAGAGGCTACTCTATACAAGCGAAGGACGTGCACCAACGTAACAGGTTTTAAGATACGGATCATGTGGGTCAATAATGCAACGCCTGGGTATTGAATTGAATTATATCAAGTAGAGTGCATGAACAATATGGACAAAAGAATGGACTCGGACAATCAGGACTCTGCAGCAGGAGTAGGGAATCAATCATTAGAAGAGAGTTGCCTGGTCACACAAGAAAGAAACCCAACGCCCCAGTAAGGCCTAGCAAGCAGGAGAGACCCGCCACCGCCAATGGTTGTGCGGCACTCTTCTTATCCGGGCACTCGGCTGGCTCGTTGAAGTGGAGATCGCAGTAACTGGCCAATTTAGAGGCCTCCATGCTGGCGAGAGTGGTCTTGTCAATTTGAGTCCGACAGGGATTCGTTGAAGGAGTCGGGGATGCTGCCACAACAGCGCATGTATGATTGGTGTATTTACCGCCCTCCCAAAGTGCGCTGCTGATGGACTTGGTTTTGTCGGTCACATTGATCGCCACGCCTGGTTGCCCGGTACATGTCTTGTTGGCCGTAGCAGCAACGGGGTCCAGCTTTGGGGCAGAATTGCTAGTGGTGAACATGGTTGCCTTGGTGGTGCTATTACTGATCACCTCGTTGCCATATTCGGGTGATTCCACGTTGCAACTATCCCAGCTTAGGGTCCAGAGTACGCTCCAACGACCCTCGGTGCTGAAGGCGTTGCTATATTTTTGGGCAAAATAGGTTTCCTGGTCTGTCCAGTTTACCCAGTGGAGTTCATGCCACAGATTGTAGAATTTGTCGCCATCCTCGTCCCTTAAACTGTAACTGATTGAGGGGTTTAGGTGTCTCGCGCGCTCGGAATTCTTGAACGCAAAGACAACAGGGAACGCGTTGTTGGGCGCATATGTTTCATTGCGCGGAAAAGCCAGATTCACTTCCAGTACATCAGAAGCGTTGATCACAGTCTCCAGACAGGCAGCGAGCATCCAGATCGTCGTTGAAATGTGCATGATAAGGGCAAGTCAGACCTTCGAATGTGATCGCGGAAAGATGGGAGCGAGAAAAAACCCCGCAGATTTAGGACAATCTACTAAACAGGGAACCAAATTGGTAAACAATGAAGGTAAGATGAACAAGTATATTGGGGCCAGCGCTCAGATAGACTCCGAAGGCAATTAAATGGGTGCAGGGGTTGAAAGACCATGTGAGACCTTTAATCCTTGCCCGCATACAAGTGGCGGCTTGGCAGCTCATGGTCCTATCAACAACTGGGCTAAAGACCCTGGAAGTTTGCCTCTGCAGTGCGCCGGGCAGCGCGGATCTGGGACCGCCCCCTACCAAGCCCTTGGCTTTCGGCTTCCGTGGCCAGTTGCAGCGTTACAGTGCCTAGTTCGAATAGTCAACGCTAACTAGCAAATACACACAGACTCCATAGGCTCCTGTACGACTCTTCCTGACATGGACCCTGCGGCTCTCTTCGGGTAATTTATCCCCATTGTTCGGTGCATGTAGGCTTTGTGCATACATGCTTGGCACTTTCACATCTACAATCCTCTATTTCGCCACCGGCATACAATAAGACCCGCTTCATACACTAGTCAGTGATACCGAATATGATAAGGGTAGTACTGTAAAAATGAGCCAAGGACTTTGGGGCTTCGGCTAGCTGGAAAGTAGTAATGAAGTACGCTAAGTTAGTGGAAGTAGTATAGAAGTAGTAGATACCCTTAGATGAGATGGATAAGGCTAGGCAGTGTCCTCGGAACTGGTAGGACCTCAAACTACTATATAAGGCTATAGAGAAGCCGTACTTGGAGGTTAAACATTCATTCATCTAGGTTGATTCGGAGTCTATAAGTATGCAACCCTGGGATTTCCCAGCGAGAAACTTTCACTAACACTTTCTTTCTCTACAAAGCCCAAATTCAAGCCACGCACAATGCATCTCACAGCTCTTCTCACCGTCGGAGCAGTCCCAGCAATGGGTGCAGCCCTGGCTCCTCGCGCTGTCAACTGCGACTTCGCAACCACTGCTGATGCCGGGGCTACATGCGCTAGCTTTTCCAGCAACTGGGGACTGTCAGTGACCGACTTGCAGAAGCTGAACCCTGGCATCACCTGCCCGAATCTCGATACCAGCAAGTCTTACTGCGTGGTCGGTACCGCCACGGATGAACCAACCCCACCCACGAGCACAACAACTACCGCCACCCAGCCAACAAGCACCGATTCCGCTCCCAGCAACTCTCCCACTATGCCCGGCATTGCATCCAACTGTGATGGCTTCCACAAGGTCTCATCCGGAGACCAGTGTTATACCATTGCCAAGAAGTAAAGTATCACCGAAGCCCAGTTCAAGAGCTGGAACAGCCAGGTCGACGCCAGTAAGTCTTTCCTTTTCTCCATGGCTTTCGTGGACATGGGGCTGCTACAAAGATCATAACCTAACAGCCAGTACAGAATGCTCAAACCTTTGGCTCCACTACTTTGTCTGCGTGCATGTTCCCGGCGCAGTCATCACCTCGGCCCCCCAGCCAACGGCCCCTACGGGTCCAACACCCCAGATGCCTGGTATTGTCAGCAACTGCAAGAAGTACCACCTGATCAAGGATGGTGAGAGCTGCTGGTCCATCTACACGGAGGCGGGTATTACCTTGGCACTCGTGCAGCAACCTTTGGCTGGGCTACTATATCTGTATTGGTGTTTGAGCGGTTTTTAGCATCGCAGGTTAAGGTGGTGGATGGTTGACAGGGTAGTTGTTTGCAGCCTAAGTCAGCTGGTCCTCCGGCTTGACTATGTTAAAAAAGTTCATAACAGCCTCCAGAACCCTATTCATATCTGTCAATGGCAACATTACAAAATGCTCAAATCGTATTCCTGCCTTGACCAGGAAAGGCCATATGGTTCTCGCCTCGTCTGCGGATTTCTCCCTAGCAACCCTTTCAATGTACATAGTCAACAATTGCTCATTCTGCGTCCTCTTCTCATTCACATCCAGTCCTGGTGCGACCTATCCTTCCGCATTAGTGCCAAGGCATTCTTGCGTAAGAGTCTAAATCTTATACTAAGCTTAATACTCCAAGAATTAGCGTTCGTGCGTATCGACCTGCTCCCGCGTAAAGGACAAAGGGTATTTTCTAGAGAATCCAAGGTCCGACTAGTTCTGAAAGAGTTCTATTAGGCACGCACAAAGCGGGAGAACGCCAATTTCGGAGACTTCTCCGTATCGAAGGAATAACTCTCGGAACACACAGGGTACGTTTATAGCCCTATGCGCTAGTTTATTCTTAAGCAAGGTTGAGAGCTTATAGGCCTTTGCTAACTTTGTTTAGGACTATTCGCGTATTGCAAGTATCTTACTATCCTTATCTAGGGTATTAAAATCATCGCGTAGTTCTACCGTAAATATACCTTTCTCGTAATCGTAGTTCCACGGCGGTTTAAGAAAGACTAGCGATTAGGCCTAGAGAAATATAGGGAGAACGGAAATCGACTAAAGGTCGATAAGGGATACCTACTATTCTTAAACGATCGTTAGGGGAGACGAAAATATTTCCTATCTAAAGATCGGTATACTATAGAGTAGGCTAGGAAGCTTCCACTTTTAATATTTCGTTTGAGTCTAAAAGTTCTATAACACTTTCTGTTTCGTGTAGGAGTTCGGTTTATTCTTCGATATCTCCTTTATAAAAGAATGCTTGATCTTGCTAGCCATTCTTTGATATTCGTAGCAATTCGCGCCTTATAATAGAAGTCCTAAGGGTTAAAATTGAATACCCTATAAACAGTTAGTATATAAACTGTCAAAATATATAGGGGACTCATAAGGTCCTTTGTCAAAGTCTAGACTTAGATCAGGGTTATACCTGCGGTCACAAGAAGGTCTAATATAGAAAGATAGATCAAGTTTGGCTATTTGGGCCTCAGTTGGTATGGGTGGTGTTTCTGTGCGGGTTTGGTAGGGCTAATGAATTGATATTGGGTTGGTTTGGGGTTGTGGGGGAAGAGAGGGAAAACTTTAATTGATTGATCATGATAGGGGGATATGTACTGCTCTGCCCTCAAACCCTAATGCGAGGAACTGGCGTATAAGCCGTCGGCGGCGGTCTGAGGGGGACTCGGTGGGTTGTGAGGGGTCCGGCTGAGGTGTTTCCCATTCTGAGAGAAGATAGATATCTAATGGGAGGGATCCCCAGGGGACCGGTCCAGGTGACTCGCCTTCAATACTTCGGAGAGGCATTTGTGTTCTGTTCTACCTTGGGGGATGTAGCAGGGAAAAGTAGGGAGAAGGAGGGGAATGAAGAGAAGCAGCACATACATCCCGCGACACGCTAGCTCCATAGTTGAGCTGTGTTTTAATACCAGAGCAGTTTGGCGACTCTGCGGAGAGACCGTTGCCGTTCTTCGGAACTGTGAAACCTGGTGAGGTTCGACTGTTGTTCAACAAACTACGTGGAACAGGGCACAGGAAATAATGAGTATCGGAAGTCGACTCTGTGGAGGAAGCGCCAAAGAGAAGAAGACAATTTATTTAGAGAAGAAGACACTATCTGAGCTTAAGATCTAGAACTTGGCGATATGTTTGATTAAGTTAATATTTGACAAAGTTGATCAGAATTCACATCCGGTTGGAGCCGCTCCAACAGAGTCGGGATACGCGGGTGTCTGCGCTGCATTCTCGCACTTGCAGTAGTTGGTTTCCAGCGGAATATCCGAGCATACGCTTGCCGGCGCTGTTGCGCAGTATGTATTGACTGAGACTGAGGTTGTCATGCCTGCTGGACAGGAGCTTGAGGGCATGCAGAAAGTGTCGACGGTTGATGCGCCTGCGAGCATGGTCATGCTATACCATTGGTCTTTGGCACAGGAGCAGGAAACGGCTTTGGGAATAAGCAGGTATGTTAACTTCATCGTCTACATGCTGGCTATAATATGGTGGGACAGAGAGACTAAGGGGCAAATTGAAGAAGGAAAATGAAGAGGGAGGAAGGACTCACCACTGATAATAGTCGACTGTCCTCCCGCCAAGGTACCCTCATACAAGGTCGAGGTTGTCCAAGGAATCGCGCCATGCGAGCACTCAGTCGTGATCCAGGACGCATCAAGTGGGTAACAGGTCGACAGCTCCATGCAATGCCCTGGGTGCCAAACCGAGGGGAAGTACCCCTCTGAGCACTGGATCGGGGGCTCCGGTCTAGCGCAGTACGATGTGGGTGTTCCCATCGTACAATCTGTCGTGTAGACAGCGGTCTGCCCATCTGAGCAGCTGAGCGATGCAGCCTTGGTGATCGTCGCCGGAGTCGCGGTTGTTGTACCTGCGGCAGTCTGCTGAGGGAACGCACCGACAGCAGTGAAGAAGAAAGAGAACAGAGCGATGACTTGGAGAAAGTCCATTTTTGGCAGTCTTTGAGCTCACTGGTACAGAGCGAAAGAAGCTGTCAGGGGTGGTGAATACTGTAAGAGGTGCTGCTGTGATCTCAAGAACCCCAGGTCCAGGGCCAATCTTGGGTTTTATATCACTGCGAGAGGTCTCACTACAGATTCGTCTTTTCTAGAACAATCAAAGTCCGAAAAAACCCTTCGCTGTATGTCTCCCACATACGTGTGCCCAGTATTAGTGGGGCGGTTTCTGATAGCTCCAAAGAGAGACAAAGGGCTCACCTCAGCTCATAACGCTACCTCGGCTTGTAACCGTCTGACGGGATAATTGAATGCTTTGCTCTCTTTCTCGAAAAACACGAACCAAAAAAAGAGGGTGTAAAAATAGCGGTGTTGTGCCGAGTCGGCCTCTCGAGAACTTTAAGGCCCCCCGAGTGCAGGGTCGGGCAGCGCATCTCCGTATCATTGTGAGTACACGGCTGGTGTAAGCTGATTGCTTCTTTGGGTGGGGAGACGGTGAGACATTTCCCGAGAAAGTGGATCGGGGCGAAACATTGGAGAATGTTTCAGTGAGCGGGAGGTGTCGAGTTCGACCGAGACATGGCTGTCATATCCATGACCTCGATATGTCAGAGGGATGGGGGACGGGGAAAAGCAAGCTCAGGCGACGAACCTTGAACTTTCTCAAGTACTGCGGTTGACTCAATCATTATGGACTAACGAATACGAAACGGAATGGACCGAGTACCGCACCCCTTCTTCCTGTCGGTCTTGGGCTCACTCAATTGATAGTGCTAGTACTTAGGCTTTGTCTTATATAGTAGGGCCTGTGATAAGTGGTTTCATACAATTACTCGATTTTCCTAACTGGGATAGCGTTATGTCCGCATAGGCATTCTTAGGTCCGCGTAGTAATTCCCAAGAGGTAAGCACTAAAGCGGAAAGAGGAGGTCTCGAGTGCCAAGTATTATCGGGCATATAAGTTATGTGTATAGAGGGGAGTTATGTATTAATTACTATTTGGGTATATCGTTACTATTAACTTCCTCCACTTTCATCATTCATTCGCTTCCAGTCGACGCACTGCTTTCTTCATTTTCCGCAGGTGTTCTTTCACCTGTTGACAGGTCCAGCGCTGTCGAGACCGGGGTTCTAGCATGCCCTTCATACAAGTCATTAGAGAATCTGCAACCGAGATTCCATCGTCCAAGATCATCGAGCCATGATCAACTTTGTCGGCGAAATCTGGCGGGAAGATAGTGTGCTCAGACGGATCTTGGCCTGATCCGCGAGTGAGGTCATTTAGAACGAATTGTCTCTCCATCTTCGTGTTCAGGCGGTATAGAGTCTCGAAAAGAATAACACCGAGTGCGTAGACATCGAGTTTTTCGTCGATTCTGTATTCGTCGAAATAGCCTGCTGGCGAGTTTGGATCGCTCTCCGTGCCCGGTACATTGGCCGGTGGACGATAGAACTCGGTGCCAACGACCTTTTGGAGATTGGGACCTTCTCGGTATGGCGTAACCGTGCCGCGTGAGGGCTCGTTGAGGTGAGAAATGTCTGCCACGAGACCGAAGTCTCCGATTCGAGGACGGCAAAATTGGACTGGAGAATCCTGCCCGGAACTGCATGTGTTGCACGTATCTACCGTGCTATTTTCAGGTGCACACAGGAAGATGTTGGCAGGTTTCAAGTCGCGATGAACAATGTCCTTCGAGTGGAGGTACTCAACACCCGAAACAATGTCCAGCATGAGTTTCAAGGAAGGCAGAAGATGGAAGCAGTGGCGGCGAGGGGGCGAACCCTCATCGTATCTCAGAGGTGCTTGCGAATTCAGATACGAGCCCAATGAAATAGGATGGAGCGACATCTGAATGTGGAGAATAACTGCAGGAGGTTGCTGACCAGGCCGGTAACGGGGTTGAACTTGGAGCTTGGACTGATCTTGACTGAGACCCCCATCGGTGAAAATGTCATCGGTTTCCCCGAAGCCCGATGTATTATCAAATGTGCGAGGAATCGACTCAATCTCATCGTCATCCTCGTCTATATCCCTTCGCGAGCTCTTCTTTGACTGACGGGAAGAGCCAGTGGCGTGGCTGTCCCAGCGCCGAATGCTCTCGGAGAAGCTATGGTCTTCTGGTAGCGAACTTGAATGGGAGTCGTTATTTGAGCTTTCAGAAGTACCAAATACAATCCCCATACTTGGTTCATTGGGGGTACCGGGAGAGGGTAGATTGCTTTGCGTGTGCTCATATGCAGTGTGTAGCGGACGAGGTTCTGCAGCAGGCGGATGTGAATGATGGGCCTGCTCGACCCATGCGCCATAATATCGGACAA